TGGGTTCATACTTCTGAGACGTTCGGTTCAATTATGAGTTTGCTGAAATCGGTGTTTAAATGATCCTACGTTTAATTTTTTGAAATTTCCAACTTGATTTTGCTTCGAGATTCGTGCCCGATCAAGATAATTTTTTGATGATATATCAAGTTAAAAAATCTCTTAGATTATATAAAATTATATAAATTTAAAATTTTCTGCATTAAACAAAAATAAAAGTTCTATTATACTATGGTTATAAAAAAGTTATCCTAAAATACCTTTAGCTTTATATAGAACTCATCAAAACAAATGAAAAAAAAAAATCTAATGGTCCTTACTACCAAACCAACATATATTGAGCCTCATAAGAAAAGATCTCAGCCAAGTGGTAGAATATATTGAGGACTTCAATTATTCTATGGGGAGTAATAAATACTTTGATCTGATTACACTTTGGGCTGCTATCTATTACATTTGGAGGGAGCGGAATGATAGAAAATTTTCTAAGAATATTAAGAGCTATTCTATTGTTTGGTTGATTATTAAAAAGACAATTAGGCTGAAAATTGCAAATTGGAAAAATGTGGATGAACTGGTTCATTTACTATAACGTTGGAAGTTCTTGCTTCTTGCTCTCCATATTTTCGGAATTTCTGTCTCTATGGCATGAGCTACCTGGTTATTTATTGGGACCGCTGGGCAATGATGAAGAGGTTGCTTTTTTTATCCCCGTTGGACGGCGGTTATTTTGTAACTTATTTTGGAAGGCATCTCCGCAATCTCAATTTTTTATAATTTCTTTTTACATATGTAGCTAGTTCTTTCTTTTAATGGAATTTGGACTAAGCTCATAATTTTTCAAAAAAATAAAAAACATAGATTGAGCTCAGCTAATGAGGTATGCGGCGGAAGAAGCAGGTTCACAAGACAAAACCACAAAGAGAGAGGCAGGTTGCCGGCGGTGGCAATGGCAAAAGCCAAAGTTACTATTTCATTCACTACTGTTCTCATCTTCTCAAAGAGAAGAAATACAAAATGACTATGGATAAAAATAGATAAAGGCTAAAAAGAAACAGCCTGCATACATAACTAAATAAGGTAAGTAGATTAGTGGAGCAGCAGCTACTAACAGAAAGCATGGAGAATTTTCTAGTAAAAGAACTAAAGGATAGTGTGCACCGGTCCACCGTGGTGCAGCAATGTGAGGCAGCAACGTGGTGCAGCGTGATGCTCCGCATCATTCTCCCCCTCCGTGAGAAGAATCGGACTCCGATGAAGACAGGTTAGTGGTGGCAGCATCAGGAGGGTGATATTCAATAAGGTCTCCAATATTGAAGGTAGTGGAAGTGTTGAAGTGGTTGGGTATATCCACGATATATGCGTTCGGGTTGATCTGCTTAAGGACAGCGAATGGACCAGCTTTTCGTGGGCTTAGTTTGGAATAAGTACCTTGTGGGAACCTTTCACGACGTAGTCGGACCATAACTAGATCACCCGGCTTAAATTGCCTATCTTTGCGGTGCCGATCAGCGGCTTCTTTGTATCTAACAGTGGCTGAAATGAGTTGTTGGCGTACTTCTTGCAACATTGTGGTGAATTGCTCGGCAAAGTCAGTGGCCCGTTGACTGTTGCATTTCGGGAGGACAGCTACATCCACTGTGTGATTTGGTTGTTTCGTGTACACAATACTGAAGGGGCTACGTCCAGTGGATCGATTGCTCATACTGTTATACGCAAATTCTGCTTGGCCCAGGAGTTCATCCCAACTTTTGGGATGGTCCTGTACCACACAACGTAACATGTTCCCCAGTGTTCGATTGACGACCTCGGTTTGTCCATCCGTTTGAGGATGGTAAGCAGAGCTGAGCTTGATCTCCGTGTTCAGCCTCTTCCATAACTCTTTCCAAAAGTGACTGATGAACTTAACATCACGATCGGATGTCAAACTCCGAGGTACCCCATGAAGTCGGACGATCTCAGCAAAAAAAATGCGGGCAACATTCAATGCGTCGAACGTTTTCTTACATGGCACAAAATGAGCCATTTTGGAGAAACGATCGACGACCACCATGATCGAGTCGTATCCTCGTTTGGTGCGAGGTAATCCCATGACGAAATCCATGCTTAGGTCTTCCCAAATAGTCTCAGGTATAGGCAATGGCAGGTATAGTCCCTGCAATGTTCCTCCGGATTTGAAATTCTGGCAAACAGAGCACCTCTCGACGAACCTCATAACGTCACGGTGCATGTGGGGCCAAAAAAACCTGGTTTGTAATTGTAGGTAGGTATTATTTCGTCCCACATGAGCTGCTAATCCACCCGAATGAATTTCCTTGATAAGTTGCGGTCTCCAGGAAGAGTCTGGGATGCACAGTTGGTTAAATCGGAATAAGAATCCATGCCTCAGAGAGAATTCTCTAGGCTGCTCGCCGTTAGCACAGTCAGTCCAGATTTTGGAGAAGTCTTGATCTGTAGCATACAAGTCCTTCAGGCATTCCAGACCTGTAATCTCCGTTTGCAACTGAGTGAGAAGCGCGCTACGTCTACTGAGTGCGTCCGCCACCTTGTTCTGAGCGCCCGACTTGTGTTTCAAAACGAAATTGAATCGTTGCAGGAAGAGGACCCAGCGAGCATGCATACGGTTGATGTGCTTTTGACTATTAATAAACTGCAAAGCCCGATGATCGCTGCACAAGACAAACTCCTGGTGTAACAAGTATGGCTCCCACTGTTTAAGAGCTCGCACGATGGCATAGAACTCCTGCTCGTATACACTCCACTTTTGTCGAGCAGGACAGAATTTCTCGCTGAAGAACTCCACCGGGCGATTGTCTTGGCTCAGAACAGCACCTATGCCGACTCCCGAAGCGTCGGTGTCAATGTGGAACGGCTTGTCAAAATTCGATAAAGCTAGAACAGGGGCAGCTGTTAATGCTAGCTTAATGGCGTCGAAGCTGTGCTGTTGATCGTCTCCCCAGTAAAACTGCTTCAGCTTGAGACAGTCGGTGATAGGAGCCATAATGATGCTAAAATCTTTTATGAATCGACGATAGAAGTTCGCGAGCCCATGGAAGCTGCGGATATCTGTGAAGGATTTAGGCGTGGGCCAATGTGTGATGGC